CAGTAAGCAAAGAATTGAATGGCTCACAGACAGCATCATCTTATAAATCAAGAATATATGATGAAAATACACGAATAGAGTCTGAAATGCCCATTACGTTCACGTTTGGCGCGACTCTAGCAATGTGAATAGGGACAAAGTGCAAAGAAATCAAAATTAAAGGAGTGCAAAGAAATTAAAATTTTAACTGATTTTAAACTAGGATGGACTGCCATTGTTAGTTGTGATATCTGCCTACCAGTTGCTTGAAAAACTATGACTCGCCTTCTTCAGCCAACCAATCATATTCAGATTTGCTATACTATATAATGAATGCTGTCTAAACCTCTGGCTTGAGTCAGTAGCGTAACTACCGGGGGCAGGTGCCCCTAGAGAATGCCTGTGCCCCAAGTCTCCGATTTGATATCTGTGAATTTCTTCCTTTGAAATGTGGCTGCAGCTAATGTTCACTTTTCCCTCTGTGCGCCAAAAGTTAGCCAGTGGTGAAATATTTATGACTTTGACAATTCATACATAATGGAAGGCATTGTTTTGAAAAGGAAAGGTTTATTTACTGAAGGTTTTCCTTGTTCAATTAACAGCCACTGATGTGTATTTGCAACAGGGATGCTTATTCTATGTGTAGTTTCTTTGATACAAGTTGACTCCCTTGAGTCGCTGCAAAGAGTACTTTCTATAAAGAAACTAAAACTACTTTTTTGTAACTCTCAAAAGGAAAGCTTGCTGAAAGTTAAATTGTCATCAATGTGTATGGTTGCTCCGAATGTTTATTGTATCAACTTTAATAACAAACATAATGTTCATCTAAACGCAAGTCTGAATGAACAGTTTTCTTCAAAAGATTCAGCTTTGTGCCATGTTTTGGGAAATACTTTAATTATATAGCATACACGCTTTGTATCAGTTATACTCTAATAGCCTTAAGAACAGAGCATACAGGTTAGTATAATCTAATCCTGCTGGAATAACTACGATTGGAGTGTTTTCTGTAGCGGCTGGTTAGTTAGGTCAACCTTTCTAGAAGTGAACGCATCCCAGTTGAACATCCAACAGAGTCATAAACAAGGCATGGACTTCAAATGCAATGCATGCACTGAAGCCGTTACTCCATTGGACGTTACGGAGGTCCAGGCAAACTTTCGCCACTTTTATTTTAGGGACACCCACGCAAATCGCCGGTGGTTCACGGGCTGCAATTTCAAGACAAATCAGTCTAGTTAACGCAGAAATCAGTGAGTCCGATAAAACACTTTTTCTTAAAAACTGGAAGAGGTCTAAGCTATGTTTCTAAAATAGCTGAGCAAATTTGAAAAACAATAAAAATACATTATTTTTGACATAAACATTTTTGATAATAATAATAAAAAAAGAATGTCAAAAAGTTGGATTCTGATGCGTTTATAATGCCTCTCTGTTTTTGAAGGGGGGGGCTGTTCTTTCCAGGACTGGTATGAATGCCACCAGTGAAAAATAGGTATGTGTATATTTTTGGCGCTCATTGCTTTGGAGTAAGAATGACAACTTTCACTTCCCAAGCTAAAAGTGCAACTTCGAACAATCCTGTTACTCAACCTTGACGATATAATGTCAATTAACTAAATAACTCTACACTGATTAGCCCCCACTTGAATTTTTGTGTGTATTGATAGGAAGAGCTATAACAATGACGTCCCTGACATTTAATCGTAAACTTTGTTTCATAAAAACAAATCCAGCCCAAGCCATCTAACAATCCAATCTTTATCCAAGTCTTACCTGATATCTCTTTGTTGTAAATTGTAAAAGTACCTGCGGTTATTTTGATATGAAGACCATATGCTTGTGTAAGAACCTTGACGGAAGCGCATGCTTGAATGATATTGAAAGTAAGAAAAAAAATCGTCACCCTGTGAACCGCAAAACAAGACTCGAGCAACCCGAGGGGAAGAATCTGTAGTCAGAATGGTACAGTATATTAACGAGATCAAACTTTGACTATAGCTTCTAGGCATAAAGCTCGTACTACGGAATAGGTCAAACTTATGTTTTAAATTAAAATAACAACCCTCAAAAAATATATATCACACAAAAAACGAAGCAAATAGACAAAATACCGTTTCTTTTGAGTCAGATGATTTGGCATCCAAGAAGTTCCTTCTAAGATCAACAATTAAGTTGCATGGTATTTTATTTTTGCTATCCATGGCTAAAGCTGTTCAAAATATAATAAATTGTGCACATCAACCTTTTTGACACCAATTGACAGAAAGTATCACTACAAACGAAATCAGGTCCAAATGACGCGATTGACATTAGAACAGATCCATGGGAAGGGGATCTCAACATCTAAGACGGTTTCCTTTGCACAGAAAAAAAACTGGTTTTCAAACTTTTTGTCTTGAAATCTTAGGTTCCACATCCTAGTTTCTTTATACCACTACGTTACCTCGGTAACTGGGTAGAATATTCAAAGCAATCCTTACCTTCAACAACGTGGTGTTTAAAGAGGACCTTGAAAGACAATGTGGCGCAGCACTCAGCTGATAGATCTTGTTTAGATATCGTGCATTTACCTGAAAGTCCTTCACCCGTGACTTCTGAAACACTAACTAGAAATCATAAAAAGGAACATATGAGTTAATGGTGGAATTCTGTCAAATGTGTTATTTGGGAATGGGAATTTAAAGATAAAAAAGCCTGGAAGTTTGTAATGTGCATCTGTTGGAGCCCCATGCAATTCACCTTGCGGGGCCAGGTCATGCACACAAAAAGGGGCGATAGGTTGCCAAGCATGAATGAAAGCATTGCACCACAAGTTTAGGTTAGCTGTAGAAACTACCAGGTAACATTACTTGTTTAAACATTTAAGTTAAAGGTCTTCTGTATCGAAGTGGAAATGTTCATTCCCTCTCCAGGGGTTATTCACTTCTGCTTTTGAACACGCACTTTAGAACTTTTTCGCATCAAACCTTTGGAAATTAGAACTCCTCGTCGCAAAGATTAATTCGAAAAATGGAAGTTTATATTAGTGGTCATCCAAGCCTTTGTAAAATGTGTTATTAGGTACAGTGTAGATTGTTCACAGCCATCTATTGTTGATCGAGACTGCAATAAAATTAAGCTTAGTTTGCAAAGTTCAAAGTGTGGGTACTGGGCGACAAGCGAGTGTAGGTGGGACTGTGCATCGTTTGGGCGTAACAAAAACTAGCTTTTGTAGCTTGTAAACTCTGAAATCATTTCCAACTTGAAAAGTAAATAGGTAAAAATAACTTCACCGGACTTAAGGTCGACAAGCAGAAACTTGGCTATTTCTTGCGGGGTCATTTCAGCCAAGTCCTCGCTGTACAGTTGCAGTAGTTGCTCCTCCTTGGATGACAGGACTTCGAGACCGGATTCCTGATTCACAAAAAGCGCACATGGTCATAGAATAAATTTGTGATGGGAACAGGGAGGATGGGGATGACATGTAGTAAGGTTATGACTAGCCCAGCAATGGAAATCTAAAACGTTGGCGGGGTAAAGACACAAGCCATTGAAAAGCAATCTTCATTATACCAATGTACATATAGTTTAAAGTGTGTTTCATTCCTGCAGATCCTTGTGTCAATACGACATTTAAGGTCTTTTAAAAATGTTTTGAGTGCTATTGAATGCATGTTGGTCCTCAGAATTCGCTAAAGATGGCTGTAAACTTTATTGCAGCACGAACACCTGACGGGTGAGTCGGTTAGATAGCTAATCCTTGTGTAAAAACGCTTGGGGGATATATACCCCATCCATCAGGATCTACGCCTGTCGATGTGTTCTATAAACTGCTGAAAACTGAACACAGACAGTTCTCCGTTGGCGTATTCCTGTACTCACCTGTGTAGGGCGTTTGATACTGTAAATCAAGTTCACAAATCGGATCACTTTTGCATACGTGGAATTGCCTGAGACAGGTTTGGGAGTTACTTGTCAAATTAGGAAGCAGTTTGTTTCTGCTAAATCCGCTATTTCAACACATCGGACTATTGCCTGTGGTGTTCCACAGGACTTATCGGGTGTCATGATATTTATCATATATGTTAATGTTTTCAATAAAATTTGCTATCGTCTTTTTGCTGATAAAACGAGTCTGTTTCATAACCACCGTAATGTTAATACAGCCATTAGCAGTCTAAATACAGAACTTTGAAGGTGAATGAATGGCTCTTGTCTAAAAGAATTCCCAGTTAATTTACTCAAGACAAATTGCATGATTATTAGCTCGAACCCAAAAAATTCAACATAAACTACTTTTTCTCAGTCGGTGTAGTACTCCTCAGAACCAGGTCGAAAGTCCTGGGTCTTTAACTGGATCAGAATCTCTCTTGGAGTAAACACATCGACGTGTCGTGAACTAAAATCTCCGAATTCGTTGGCGTTAAGAGTAAAAAGTAATGTCCTGTTAAACATTATACCTTTAATTTTTGTATAAAAACACTAATTTTAAGAAACTTAAATTATTCTTACCTCAGGTAGCTCGACGTGTCAACGGAACAAGCTGTTTATTTTGCAGAAGAAAGTTGTCCAACAATATCAAAAACGGACTACTTAACTCACGCAACTCAATTATTTGTGGAGTAAGGAATACTAAATATAAACTACATTTTTAACATTAGAATTTCGGTAAATTTGTGTATCTACAAACATGGTATTTTACTTCACACCTTTAATGACTATGATATAAAACCATCTCCTCGTTACATTCCTATGCAACCAGAAGTAACGTTGGATGACTATAGTGTTAATTATAACCGTATTCCTTTTCAGAAAACAGTCTTATCCAAAAGATTTTCGTCCTTTTAAACCAACCTTAACATGGATCTTACAAGACTCTCAACCCTAAATGCATTTACTTAGAAACCAAAAACCTGCATAGTTTGTATTAATAAAACTTAGTTCATGTAATCATGTCAGCCTACTTCAATGCTTCAAATGGTCTGGTTTCAACTGGTAGCATATCTGTCTTACTGTTGCCTGTCCTTGCAGTGTATCATATTGTACTGTCTCCTACCTCCTATCTTAGGTTTCTGGTCTGGTCTCAATTACTATTGGTATGATGTGGTATGATGGAGAAACCCAAAAGTAAACTGCTTCATTTTTTCCCTTAATGCTGAAAATAAACAAACTATGTACAGCAGCCAAACTTGATAATACGCCAGTTCTCATTATTTTTTGTAACTAATTTCTTTGTTACATACAAAGAATTTATATTTTTTATATTTATTTAAATATTCGGGACATCTTTTGTCGCCAACATGAAATAAATGCGTTTTTTGGGCAAATCAACTTGTAGCTGACTGATCAAGCATTAATTAAAGTGGCACAGACAAGGTCAATTAAACGATAACAGATTTTCTCAGAAAATGTGCTATTGCATATAAAAAAATAAAATTGAATTTGGCGCACATTTTGAAAACAACGCATAACATGGTAATATTTTCCGCAGTAACACTGACCTGACTTTCTTTTGCATCATGCATCACCTTCATTCATCATTTTAAGGGATTACAAAATCTTGATTTGGATTTCATTTTGACGTATTTGCTGCCAGTTATAACAAATGTGCAATCTTACAAGGTGAAAACTTGTCCTTTACCGTTTTTTTCTCGGTATTTTAGTATTGAGTTACATTTGCTGTGATGCCAAGTGGAGCATTTAGCATTCAATTTAAGTTACACACACAGGCTTACACAAATCATGACACAGCTTTGGTAGTGAATGCAAGCGGGACATGAGTAGACAGTTATCACATGCCTGTTTACGAATAAAGACTTATCTGATAGTGTAGGGTTAATGAAATTGTGTAATGAAAATCTACCAAAATACCTACCAACTAATCTTGTTGGATTTAAACAAAAATAAGTTGACAAATTTTGGTCGTAAATGGATCTACGCACTGTATTGTTTTTCTATAGTTCTGTCTGCGTTTCAAACAATAATTTTTTGTCTATCTCTTTCTTTCTTTCGATCAATGATCTGTCTTCTAAGGCATCTAAGAACGGTATACTAAGCTCTCCATTTTCCAGCTGTCACTTCACCAATGCTTTAAAAAAACTATACATATCGGTTTGGCTGAATCGTCATGAATCAAATATCCATTTAATTCAACATTTTAAAGAATTAATACTTAGCAAAATAGGTTGATTCCAATTTAAAACAAATGAGCATATCGGGATTGAGATACACATCTTCCAAATTGTCGGAAAAAACAGAGATGATTGACACCCTGATGTAAAATATAACTAACAGCAGTTATGAAATAATGGACCAATGTTTAGAAACAAAACATAAGCACGCCACCACCACCCATTTTAAGATGTGCCAATTGTTTATTAGCACGCTTTGTTAGTCGGTACTCACCATTATGGCCGAAGATGAAACCGTCACAAACGCAGCTGCAAGAGCCACCAGCTTCAACATGGCAGTCATTCTCAAAATCTGGGAAGCCAAGTCTTTGAATGGAAATGGACCAAATGGCCAGGTGTACTCGAAAGAGAAAATCACTGTGAATGGAAAACTTGTTGTTGAGTCACTTTATATACCTTACAAACTATAGAAACCTTCTGACTTTTGTTACAGTAAGGCTATAGTCCCATGGAATTCATACCTGCATAATTGTGTCATCGACGCTCTATTTGATTTGTTTGTGTACTTTTGCTTTCAGTTGCAAATGTAAAACATGCACAAACTTTGTTTCGTTCCTTTTAATTGATGTTACAGGATTTGTTTGGACTGCAGGGGAAAGCCAATGCAGTCTGCATTGTTCGGCCTTGGCAACACTTGAAAAGACAGACAGACAACACCATAAACGTTAGGGCAGGCTAATAGTTAACACAGTCGTTATACCATACCTGCAGAAACTGGCTAGAAAAGAACAACTACTGCCTTCAATGACTTTATTGATTAATTTTCGTAGTTAGCATTCGTTAATGCTGCACTGAAATCCGAGGGACGGTTGCTCTCGAATGTGGTTCCAGAAGTGCAGTGCACATATCGTCTTTGTTTTTAGATGGCATTTTTATGAACCCTTCCAGAAACACACATTCAGAAATAGTTGTAATCAAAATCGTTGGGAACTTGCTGGTACTGGGAATTGAGAGTGCACCTTAACGGAGCACCCACACAGAGGAGACTGTATAGGAACCTATATTCAGAAATCTGATAGGCAGAAAGTAAAAAAAAATGTAATCAAAAGAAACAAACAAGTGGAAAGAAGAAACACCGTCTAACGGCTTATTCAGCCGTTAGACGGTGCTGTCTGATTTAGTAGAAATCTGTGGAAACTATTCATGCACAGAGACGAACATCTGTAATGATTTCAGTTCAAATAGACAAAGCACTTCACCATTGCACTAGGTATTGTTATACACGCGCTTGATATCAGCACTGTTTTCCCTAGCTTTGGGGGCCAGAAAGTGTCGTGGCGTCAAAAATACAATGTTCTCCTTTTCAGCATGGGTCTCAAAAGACTAAAACGAAATAACTATCTCCTCACCAGAGAAGGCTTTGAATGGAATGAAAATACATAGTAAATAGCAGTTTGAGAGAGTCTAAGCCAATTCAGACAATCATTAATTTTAGAAATGAAAATAACACTTGTTCTAAATTTTAATTTTAACACTAAAGGATTGGGACATTTTTTTACCCCTTCTACAATTTTAACCAATAAACTCAACTTTGTCCAGTGAAGTGACCATTCTTTCAAGGAATCGTCTCGCTGTAAAAATTATTGTTCTTTTTATTCAAGTGCTTGCACTTTGGTCTTAAAAGGGAACAATGAAGTAGTACGGACAGTATCTACTCGGTGAGGCTTACTTTGTAGTTTACTGACCAGATATGAAATAAGTAAATTGGACACAATTACAAATCTGAAACAAATAACATTTTAGATAATTCAGAAAAAGTGGGATATCCATCATTATGTGCTACGTTTTATTTCCTACTTTATACGCAGCTTGTAAAGATTCAACCTCGTATTTCTGGTTTCCATTATTTTTGTCAACTTCTAAGGCAGTTTTTCCACATTACTTGTATGTTCTTGTGTTCCCCCTGGTATCAGGCAGGCGATAGCATTACTACTATTGTTTCAGTCAGGGTCAATCATTTATCAAAGTGAACTGGATACAAGGTTTTGGATAACAGTCAAACTGGCTGGTTATTGTTCCTAATCTCTTTCGTTGCTTAGTTTGGTTGTGAAACAAGGAGAAGTGTGTTGTCTTAGCAAAATGGTGTAACACTGAAGTGGCGAAATTAGTTACTTATGCGGCATGCAGCTCTGCAGGTTGCGGTCAGAAAGAGTGAACACAGCACAAGGGCAATGCTATGGGATCAACAGCTGGACCAGACCAGCAGTGTGTTCCCAACCACTGTACTGATCGAACTAGAATGTGGTCAGCACATGACAGGGTCGAGGCACTGAACCATTTGTTAAATGTAGTCGAGAGGTACTTGCCCTAAAGTAGAGTGTCTGTAGGGGCAACAGTGGATTTCTGGCAGTAAATGGTTTTACATATGCGAAAGGGTGAAGCAGTCACAAACTATAGCGAGGCAGAAAAGAGAGCGACGACGTGGAAGGAAATCCTAGCGAGTTCTGGGACCACACTGTAAAACGAAAAATGTATAAATGTTTTAACGCCGTTTTAAATGCCCTCTTGTTCAAACATTATGAACGCTTTGCAGTGTTAGGTGTTATGTTTTAAAACAAACACGTTTAGTTATTAATATCAAAGTTGTTTAATTTTCAAACGTTTACAGATTTACAACCAAGGCAAAGACGCGTTTGTATTGGGCGTTGGTTGTACACGGTGTCGCATTCTGAGGGTGGTCAAAGAAACATGAGGATTTGCTTTGGTTTATGTAGAGACAAACAGAACGTTCCGAGTTTCCAATTTGTGGTGCTATGCTCTCATTCATACTGGGCAACCTATCGCCCCTTTTGTGTGCATGACCTGGTCCTGCAGGTAAATTGCATTGGGCTCCAACAGACGTACATTACAAACTTCAAAGCATTTTATATCTTTAAGTTCCCATTCCCAAATTTGACAGCAGACCAACTTTCACGTATATTCTCCTTTTTATGGTTTCTAGTTAGTGCTTCAGAGGTCACGCGTGAAGGACTTTCAGGTAGACGCACGTTATTTAAACAAGTGGTGCGCTACATTGTCTTTCAGGATCCTCTTCACACGCCACTGTGTCAATGGTAAGGATTGCCTTGAATACTCTACCCAATTTACTGAGGTAACTTAGTGGTATAAAGAAACGAGAATGTGGAATGTTTGAAAACCATTTTTCCGTGCTAAGGAAACCGTCTTAAATGTTGTAATCCCCTTTGCATGGATATGGACATATTGGTGCGCATTCCTCGTTTTTGATTAGATCAAAGAGGGTCAGCCAGCCCTAATTCGTACCTAGACCTAGACTGTTAAATTTTGCCAAAATATTTCGGACTGTCTAGACAATTTACATGTGGTTGGGATATACATGTACATGTTACGAATTTTCACATGCATACAGCTTTACGTGTTCGATGTATCCCACAATATCTGGACAGTCTTCATGACACATTGTGTATTCTGTGCCACAAGACGTCCAAGATACTGTGTTGTCAAGATACCGAAAGCTAGTACTACTCCTTTGCAACTATGCTATATGCTGTACTAGACCAGACATAGCATATATAGCATAGCACATATGCAGTAAATTGACCTTGATCGAGCTTGAAAATAAATGATCTGGACCCGAAGCACATAATTGACATGGAACGTATTCGGAAGATTCACAATGTTTTAACATTCTGATCACACTTTAGTGTCGTTGCCCTCCGTGTGAATAACTTAATAATCAGAATTGGATATAAAAAAGATATCTTGTCATTGAAATATCAATATGTGTGGTTGAACAGTAACCACAGCTTATTGGTGAAGACTATATAATTGTCAGCCAAAAAAAAAAACCCAAAAAGTAAAAAACGCAGTCAATGCAAATTTCAGTAACAGTATGTTGTTTGTTTATTCCTTTTCCAAAATAAATTTTGCATACTATTCATTGGTGCTGACCTTGTAAGTTCCATTAATTATTTGTTTCGTCATCAGTGCTCTGTATATCTTGAATAATTGTTGAATATAGCTGGCTATGAATTCACAGGTGAATATCATGTTATTGCTGGTGTTTGTTTTTAACGGCATAACTGACATCAATTGGCATAAGTACATAGAACAGTACAATGGCGTGTCTGTTGGGTCTGTAGAAACATTGCAAATGGAAAAGATATTATCATAATTTTCTTTCTAACAACGTTTTACGAAGGAAATGGCCACAAAGATCGTAAAAGTGCCTTTTACGTGCCAAAATTCAATTCAAGATCTAATAGCGTTCTATGACCCATACTTCCGCTGGATTGTTTAGGGAAGACGCATTAACGGCTGTTAATGAAAATAGACTGCTGAATATGGATCACCGAAGGTTACAAGGTTTACTTACCAACAGATAAAAACAGTCAATATTTGTTTATTTAACACTTCGTATATTCGTACACTCCAGATTCTGCACAATTCAAGCTAAAAATCAATAATGAAACGCCAGAGAGCAATCGGTGTTCCAACTTGCAAAGAGATGGCATTTGTCTTTTAGAGTGGTGGTACAAAACTGCTAAAACTAACAAACTCTAAATCTAAGTAAGACCTGATTTAGCAGTCGGACAAAACTTTACTTCCAAATCAAATACGAATGGAGTGTACGGTGTTCGATGGACGCTTTGTGATAGCGTCACTAAACTCCAAACAAATTCATCAAGTCTCATCATTTTATTTCATGTATTTCTGCGCTGGCAGCTGCGCAGACCAAGCTTCAAAGCCATCTTGAACTCTCAATAAGTCTTGATATTGCGACCTAATTGAAGGTAGGAGATTCAGCATTCAAAAATGATAGTTGGGTATTTTATTATATTAGTGTCGGCAAAGAATTCAATATTGGGCATCATTTTGTGCCTGGCTGCATTTCTACAGTCTCCGTATAGTATACACATGTTCTACAGATATAGACTACGTATTGCTGTTAGAGAGCATTCTGTATGTATACTAGCTTTCTGGTTCTGTGCGAAAGATTTGTTTCTTCGTGACAATAAAGTTGCATGAATAGGAATGTATATTTCATTTTTATTTTGGCAGTGAGATACAAAAGAAGCCTGAGTAACAACAATTTCAGTTTGCTGTTAAGAGTTTCTTTTTATCTGCATGAATAAACTTACCCTTATTAAACTTTGACATATTAGGCTTTGCTTTTTATCAGCATTTAATTACATAATTAGATCCATGTTAATCTAGCATGACTTTTATTTTTTTATTTGTTTGTGATCTCAAGTATTATTTTCTACCCATTCCGCACAGAACCCTTCCAAATTGGTAAGAATATCACATGGATTCCTTCATCCCCTTGGAAGAAGATTTTAATGCAACTGCCTTGCAAGAATTAAAACGATTAACACAGTGACTTGCAGACTTCAAAACACAGTCCTGTGACGTTGCAGCTGA